TCAGAAAACGAATTATTATTATCATCTAAGTCGGGGTTGTCGATATGTAAACTCAACTTGTGCGAGAAGAGTGGAACATCGCAATTTTTACCGTACATCGGTTTGCGTCTAGATCATAACTAGGTTCTTGTTATAAAGAATCGGGTGTAAAATAATGTAAGTTTGTAGATGATAACTTACTTAATAGAGAGACGTAAAAGAAGCAATGGAAATATAAAAATGTAGAGTTAATAGATACATATGATCTTTCTACACTTATCGGTAAATACAGCAAATTAAAATTATCATATAATTCCATTACTATGACAGATAATGTCCGTAGGTACGTTATGTGCTTTGCATTTTCGAAGTGCAACGTACTTCTACAAGACTGGCAGGATTCTAATCCTTTACTCACCCTGAATGGTGAGCAGGTAGAAGTATTCAAGAAGTTCGTGTATCTAGGTAGTTGCATAATTGCTGGTGGTGGTGTGAATGATGAGATCAATGAAAGCGAGCGGCTTATGCCAATCTGGACCATTTTGGCGCCTTCCGGATGTCAGTCTGGCTGTAATAGGTCGCATCTACAACGCGTCGGTGAGAGCAGTTCTGCTCTACGCTTGTGAGACCTGACCTGCCCGAGTTGAGTATGTTAGACGGCTCTCCGTGTTTGATCATCGTTGTCTCCGAAGGATTGCTGACATCCAGTGGCAACAAACTGTTAGTAATGCAGAGGTTCGGCATCGTGTGTTCGGGCACAGAGACGATAACTCAACTTGTGTCACCATCTTGAAACATCGACTTCGGCGGCTTGGATATGTTTTACGAATGTCGTCCCAGAAAATCCCTCATTGTGCATTATTTGCGGACGCTGGGACTGGTTGGAAAAAGCGGAGAGGTAGTCAGTGTATGACATGGTGGTGGAGTATGAAAGAAAGCTGCAAGGGGTTGGCTTCTGTTGGTCCTTCACGACTCCCTGAGTGGGGTCCGAGAGATGGTGTAACACAGTGGCTAGAGACGTTATCAGATATGGCTCAGAATAGAAGCCTGTGGCGATCGTGCTGTAACCTTCTCTTACTTTCTCCATATAAAGTGGTTGTATCTTACTAAACTGAAAGATTTCTTATGCTTGCACCTCTCCGTCTCCCCCATTATTATTATTATTATTATTATTATTATTATTATTATTATTATTACGTTACATTACACTAATCTGGTCGTTATTGTTCTTCTTTTTTTATTTAACGCCCCTTACATTCTTTTTTCTCTTCCCATTCTCATTGTTTTGTGTGGCGCATATATATTTGGTGCCCTCTTGTACCAATACTTATGTGTTCAAATAAAATGAAATAAAAATTACTATGAACGAAATTTGCGTCTTTCCAAATTCATTGAGATATGGCATTTCGCCTTATTACTTCACTTCGTAGACACGTTTTCAAGAAATCATTAATGGCCTCGGAAATAATAAATAACAATAATCTTAATATAAGATCTAAATGACTGAGATAATCGTTTAATTTCTCGCGAAGACAGATGAATTGCCAGTGGTTTTGAAAATACACTTTTTTACTCCTACACCCCAGATAAACGCATAATTGGCTAATTTGATTGTTCATGGTTATATGGTCAGGAGTGTATTAATGGTGTTGGCCTATAATAATAATAAAGTATACAAACATTGATACCCAAAACAGATGAAATAGATAAGCAGGAAGCTTCTCAGATTGCAGATATCTTCCTTCATACACATAAAAGTACTCATACTTGTCTATTAAAAGCAGTCCAGATTATTGTATTCTGCTGACGAATTGGTCACGTAACAATAAACTCACTATGAACTCTGTTGTAGCTATTGATTTGGCAAAAAAGTATCTTAATGTATGTGGTAACAAAAAGTCTAACTCTCTAAAGTTTGAAAACTTCTGCACTACACAGAAAGTAAATGTCCACCCGCCAATTCATGAGCTTCAGTATGGGTTTTGCTGACCATTGTTTGGATGTGAAATCTACAGGAGTCTTCAACATATTTCTTTAACGTTTTTTAAAACCTGAACGAAAATATCCACAAGTTAACAGCGTTCTCACTACAGAACTTAAAGAGATTGGCCAGTAACTACGTTTAGCTGCTTTTTTCGATGTTTTTAAACCAGTCGTAGTGTAAATACTTAGTATATTGTCGGACTAACACAGAATAGATTTTGTCGCCGTGTTCCAAAAGTCCGTTAGCTATATAATATTTTGTGCCCTTTCTGAATATCCTACTTCTAAATCAAGCATAAATCGGCAGAATTGTGTGTCGTCTGCTGCCACTCTAGGGCAACTAAGCAAATTATTGACACGATATATTCTAATCAGATATTTCCCCAGTGTTATTATTTTAAAATCTCGAGCTGTCCAGATGCTAGAACAAGGTATCTGAGCTTAACGTGGTAGCCGACACTACATTCTTCATGCAACCCGGTCCTGGGCAATAGTTTCCAGTTCCTAGTCATCTTTTTCATGTCTACTTCCAAGTCCCGACGTAGTGTGTTCTTCGGCCCTCCTCTTTTCCGTTTCCATTCGGGATTCCAAGTTAGGGCTTGCCTCGTGGTACAGTTTGGTGATTTCCTCAATTTATATCCTATCCACTTTCAACGTCTCTTCCTAACTTCTTTTTCAGCTGGAAACTCGTTTGTCTCCACCCACAGTAGGCTGTTGCTGATGGTATCCGGTCAATGGATATTGAGTATCTTGTACCTTTTTGATTATGGTTGCAGTAGTTATCCACGTTTCAGCTCAGTACAGTGGGACTGTCTTGACGTTCGTATTGGAGATTCTGACTTTGGTATTAGTTGACAGTTGTTTTAAGTTCCATATGTTTATCAATTGTATGGTTGCAGCTCTTGCTTTACCATTCCTTGCCTTTACGTCTGCATCAGATCTTCCTTGTTCATCAATGATGCTTTCCAGGTACGTGGAAGATTCCACCTCTTCCAGAGCTTCTCCGTCAAGAGTGATTGGATTGCTGTTCTCCGTGTTGTATTTGACAATATTGCTTTTTCCTTTGTGTATGCTGAGGCCTACTGATACAGTAGCTGCTGCTACATTGTTTGTCTTGACCTGAATTTGCCCGTGTGTATGAGATTAAAGAGCTAGGTCATTTTCGAAGTCCAGATCGTCCAATTGCGTCCAACATGTCCATTTTATTTCATGCTTCCACTCAGACATCGAAGTCTTCATAATCCAGTCAACCACCGGAAGAAAGAGAAAGCAGGAGAGTAGGCAGCCTTGTCTGACTCCGGTCCTTGCTTGGAATGCGTCTGTCGGCTGTCCTTCATACACGAATTTTCAGTGTAGTCCGTTGTGGTGTCGAAGAAGTTTCCACAAGGTCCTCCTATCTACACTGTCAAATGTCTTTTCATAATCAATGAAGTTGATGTACATTGAAGAGTTCTACTTAACTGATTGTTCAACGATGATCCGTAGTGTCGCAATCCGGTCTGTTCACGACCGATCCTTACGGAATCCAGCTTGTTGATCTCGAAGTTGTGCGTCTTCTGCGTTTTTCATCCGGTTCAGCAACACTGTTAAAGACTTCTACTGGCATTCGTAGTAGTATGATGCCTTTGTAGTTCTCACATTTGCTCAGATCTCCTTTCTTTGGTATCTTGATGAGATATCCTTCTTTCCAGTTCATCGGCACTTGTTCTTCCTCCTAAACCCTCCTGAATAGAACGTGGAGTATGTTTGCTGTCATTTGTATATCTGACTTCAGTGCTCTGACTGGTATATTGTCAGGTCCTACTGCTCTCCCACTCTTGATTTCTCTGATGGTCATCCTAATTAATTTCGACCGTTGGTGGACTGACATCGATAGAAAGATATGTAGGTGCAGCTTCGATATCCGGTGGATTCAATGAAGCTGGTCTATTCAAGAGTTCCTCGAAGTGTCCCATCCATCTGTTCCTCTGTCCTTGAATTTCAGTGATTGGCTTACCTTCTTTGTCTTTGAACGGTCTCTGTGGTTTGCTATATTTCCCAGACCAAAACATGGCACAAGTCCATGAAGTCACTGACAAGTAGACTGAGTCATATTGGTAGATGTAGAGATGATAGCAACCGATGGTTAGAAACCCTGAATGACATGGCTCAAAATCGTTTGCAATGGCACAGGTGCATCCACTCTTTGTGTTCTCCCAAATTCTAATCTTCTGAATTCTTCATGTCCCTTTCGTTTTTCTCTTTTCAACTTTTTCACTGGATTATACTCCTTGAATAACATCTTCAAACCTTAATTCTTCTGATTGCAGCTTATAATTTTACTACATCTTGCACTACGGAATTTGAATCGACCACTGCATCTCTGTGCTAATGTGGTGCGGCAACTCGAACTGATGTACGTACGTACGAAGTTCTACGTTGTTACTGACTGACTGGCTGATATTTCCCTGTTAGTTTCTTCGTTGTGTCATATAGTTATTTCATATTTCCTTCTCTTGCTTTTTTTTCACTGTCGTTGCTTGGCCTTCCAGGTATTTCTGTTTGCCGGCTCTCGTTCTCCTCTTCACTTGCTCGTTTGCTTCCGTGTATTCAGCTTTTGCCTCCACTTTCTCTGTTGTTGTTAATTGCTGTATTTTTGTTCTTCCTTTCTTGAATTTAGTCCAGGGTTCCGATACAGATCCGTCTCTTATGGTGATGCTTCTTGAGGCCCAGAATTTCTTGACCCGTTGAAGTTGGTGCTTCTTTGATCTCTTTCCAGTTGTCCTCCATTGTAGTTTTTTCTTCTTTCCTTATGGTTATCCTATAACTCAACTTATCTTCTGATGGATTATCTGTTTATCTAATCCTAGTGATTTAACGAAATGATTTATAGAGATTTTTTGGAACCTAGGTTTAGCTACATAACACTGATTACGAATAAAAATTTATACTTATAATTCGTTTATAAATTTAATGGTTTATGTTTAATAATTTAATCAAAAAATGAATTAAGTGATATTTCTAAGCGTTTGTTTTTTGTTTTGTTTTGACTTATAAGGATGTTTGACTATCAAAATGAAGACATAATATCGATCCAGGCCAACTCTCTTGATGTAGCTAAATATCTGAAAAATCATGGCATTTCCGATTCGATCATTGACATTTTCACTAAGAACACAATCGATGGATTGTCATTTTGTCTGTTAACCGAGAAAGACTTATGTGAAATGGACATCAAAGAGGTTGGTGTTAGAAAACGTATCATGTATTTATGTTGCTTCTGGCGTCACCAAATTGAAAATCATAATTATGGAGAATATACTTTCCCAAGATTACCAAGTGAGAATTCTGTAGTTGACCTGTTATGCTGCCATAATCCTAAATTGGATAATATGGAACAAGATGTATCCAGATTAAATGGAAATGATAATGTGGAGTGTATAGCAGACAGTACTTTCTTAAATGATTACGATTACGGAATAGATGAAGACAATACAAATTTCTGGAAATTTATAACCAGTTGTTTGTATTTCATTTTTGCTACATTTGTTACAGCATTTGTTATAGTTTCGGTCCATGAACGTTTACCTGTTACATCGAAATATCCTCCGTTACCAGATATTTTTTTAGATAATCTTCCTCATATCAGTTGGGGGTTTATTGCAGCAGAAGTGGTTATCATTGTACTGTTTATGATTTGGCTGACTATTTTATTTCTACATAAATATCGGTGGATACTTTTACGTCGTTTTTTTGTGCTTATGGGCACGATATTTTTATTAAGATCAATTACTATGTCGATAACTTCACTAAGTGTCCCTGGAGTGCATTTAACAGATCAATGTAGCCCATATATAATAAAAAATTATACAGAACGCTTCAAACGTGCATTAGAAATATGGATAGGTTGTGGTTTATACATTACGGGATTACGAACTTGTGGTGATTATCTATTTAGTGGTCATACAACATGTCTTACTCTTCTTAACTTTTTCATTAGTGAATATTCACCAAGAAGATTTTATCTTTTGCATACATTTACATGGGTTCTGAATCTTTTCGGTGTATTTTTCATACTTGCTTGTCATGAACATTATTCTATTGATGTATTCATTGCTATATATATTTCATCAAGATTATTTCTATACTATCATTGCCTTGCTAATAATAATTTATTACATCAACCAGATAGTGAACGTTTAAGAATGTGGTTCCCATTATTTTCATTTTTTGAACATGATGTACGATCAGTTGTACCGAACGTATATGAAATACCCTTTAAAGATTATTACAACGATAAATTTAATCGCAATAGCAATAATAATAACGGGAGCAGAAGCAGCGGCAGTAGTATCCATACCAATGGTAACAGTAGTTGTAGCAGTAATGCAACTGGTAATTACAATCAAAATTACGGTAAAAGGCAATTGGATAATGTTCGTCGTAAATCTACACGTTGTCTGCTACATACCTATCATAATAATAACAATCATGAGTATTCAACTTGCAATCATATAACACAAACATTAGGAAATACATTCATTACAAAACGTTGTGAGATTTTTAGTAAAAAAGAATCTTAGTGATATTTTTTTTATTTCCAATATTTCTCAACTTTTACATAATTACTTGAAAATTTTATCATTTTCTTATGAAAATATTTTACTGTGATGAACAATGAGTGAGTGCATTGTGTCAGGTATTTCAAAATTAGTTATCTTTTGTTTAACGAGTAATTTGTAAACATGTGATTAATGTACCCATTTCCTTAATATATATATATAATGTACGGATAGATCAATCTTGTCTTCTTTTATAAATTGTTCATGTGTAAAAAAGTTGCAGTTTTCCAAAAAGGTCCAGTTGTTAGTTTTCGAAAAAAACAGTTTGGAGAAATATTTTGTGTGATGAAACTAATTGTCTTTAGAGCAAATATTCAGACCATTCAGGGTCTAAATTATGTATAGTTAGTTATGATGGAAGATAAAACTTCCCTGTCATTTTGTTTTTAAAAAGAAAAATGTTCCAAACCATAATATCATTTTATCTACGTGATATTAAACGATTGTGTAAGTTATAAAAACAGTAGTTGAACCATTCGATTGTTGGTTTGCATTTCCATATAGTTAGTTTCAATCAACTAGAAAATATTAATAATCTTAAAATAAAATGTGTACCTCAAAGCCGAACACGACAGATAAAAGGGAAAAGTTGTATTGCTTTTATTCAAAGTAAAAAATATCACTTTGTAAACTGCGTAATATGAAGTGCCTATAAAAATAGATTAAAATTTTTCCCCTTTGATAAATTTAGATAATACGACGGGGAGACGAAGGTTATCAGAACTATTCGATATGTTAGCTTAATACATATCAAACAATCTGACCACACATTTACTTGTTAGGTCGTTTATTCATGGAAAAATCAAGGTCAACCAGAAAAATTAAAAGATGGCAGAAAAACAAAGATAATGGGAAAAATAGTGGGAAATTATCACTTGTTCAAACGGTAAGATCATCGTTTCTATAAATCACATTATTTTATTATTAATTTACAGTATTGATGTAGCTTTAACCCAATTATCTCACTATATTTATTTATCTGAACACATAAACAAGGGGGCACCAATTACATATGGGCCACACAATACCAATGAGGCCAGTGGCAGCTATTATTAATTCACGCGAGGGCTGGAATACTGACCGGGTGCCCAGACCGAAGCAGATGTTTTCTTGAGGAGCCAAACCCGGGGCCTTCGACCTAAAGGTCTGATCCATAAGGCAGCGAAGCAACTTTGGATGATCCAGTCCCATGGTAACCGGTGACCAACAACTAGGTCACACACCTTTTGTTCCTTCAGGATCCTGGAGCCCATGTGCACCAGTGGTTTTGAGTCAGGGTTTTCCAACTCCCCTAGGTGGATCCTCCATATCCACCAACTCTGTTAATGCACCGGACATTCGCTTTTCGTCCTCTCAATTTCGTAAACAACACCCCTACCACGAGAAGACAGTGAGTAGGACTTCCCTGGTAGTGGCTGTATATGCGTGGCCATGTGAGATCATTTGGAGAGGGAGAATGGACTCTACCCATCCTTGGTGGTACCAGGGCATTATTTCACTACTTTCTCATTAATCAACCTGTAGTGTGGCATCGAGTCGCGGTTGACAATGATCACCACTACAAGAAGGTTGCGTAACAGGTATCAGAAGGCGATTGGAGGTTGGAGCGAGATATATTTGTTGGCGATCTCGTGGTATCAAAGGAATACCGAGATCGTGCCAAAAGAGTACAGGCGGAATCACTGAGCAAACGTAAGCGCGTGCAAAGTCACAATCAACGGAAGGAAGAATGTCTTTAGTACAGTCAAACAAACAAGTAAAACAATCACTGGTACAATTGGTTATCATAATAATTTTTCCTATTAAACCAATCGCGTTCTCTAGACAAAAGTAGGTCACTACAAGCCAATCAGAATTAAAATGATTAGGACAATTTAAGCTAAATCAATCCTTGGGTACCGAGAATAAGAAACAAACTAACCACTTAGCCAACTAGTACACAGTTTCCAATCACATAATTTGAATGGCTGAAAACTTTCATTTTATTAAAACGGACCAATAAATGACTTTCTCGAAGTGTATTTTAAAAAATTCCCTTTCATATGTCATGTTGATCGTCAAAGTAAGTTTTTGTTCGGAAGTTGAATTAAACAAGCGATTATGTAAAATGGATACAAAACACATATCCACTCACCACCACTCTATTGAATGTTGTTATGTTTTGAAAATTGTGTGTATGTGCACGTGTATCTCATAAAACAATGTGATAAAGTCAACAACAATAGATTATTCATTACATGAATCGATGAATAAACCAATCCATAATGATGAGTTCCACGCATTGTTTGTCACCTAACATTTAATTAAGTTGTAGTCTTGATAATAACGGTTCAAAAACAAATATTCTGTATGTGAATTATAGGATTAAGAAAGAGAGATATTCTTCTGCATTTATAACATCTCTCCTACATTTAAGCTTGTTTACGTTAAATGGTGTAAAGCCCTTCAATTAATTTATTTAATAGATAATATTATTCGGAAAGTAACAATTTATCTATGTTCTTTGTATTATTATTATTATTATTATTATTATTATTATTATCATGTACATATATATGTATATATATACATCGGGCTATACTGGCTGGAACAATCACTCCTCAAGGTCCTACCATGCCAGACAGGTCGGTTGAACAGCAGTAAGACTGAAAGCGCAAACCCAAGGTTTGAGGGTGAAGTCGTACTGCTGACTGTACAGAAGTATGACGGCAGTAAGGTGTTTCCTTCAGAAAAACGGCATAACAGCGATGCTGCCTTCCCACAAGGAGGGGTAGGGTTACAAAAGGTCGACCCTAAAAATGCACACCTCGTCTTATTCCACGGATATCCGTCTCCGGCGGCGAACTTCCAACAACTATAAGGTTGATTCGAAAACTACTCACAAGAGGTCGTGTGTGACCGGCCTCAAGCAGTTGTTTCTTGGGAACTGCGGTCACACTCTTAGGTCACTAAGACCACCTCTAATCCACTTTCTTCTTCAGGTACCTTCAGAAGAACCCTTCCACAGTGTGGGCAACTGGGAAGTGATAACCGCCCTCATAACTCTATCAACACTCAATGCTACAGTATCCATTACCAATTTCCCTCTTCGATTCCCATTATTCCTCCTACCTCGACTTTGGTCTCTAAACTTCCTCTTTTGGATTTCAACTCGAGTGTCACCATAGCCAACGACTCTAGTGCGCAAAACACTGTCCCAAGTCTACTGAAACCTCGCTCCAAACTACACATTGGAGCCTTCAACGTATGCACATTATGTCAAATCGGTCAGCAGGCCTCCTTGGCTAAAACCCTAGGATCCCGTACCATTGATGCATGTTGTGTCTCCGGAACACGCACACAGGATCCTAGTGTGGTCATTCACTTGACCTCATCTCGTCAAAACGGAGAGCCAACGAGATACACCCTCCGTGTATCTGGCGACCCGATGACTAGTTCTGTTAGACTTGAGAGTGTAAGCATAGTACTAAGTACGAGGGCAGAACAAGCACTATTAGAGTGGATCCCCGTTAACAGTCGTCTATGTGCTGTTAGGCTAAACGGCTCTGTAAAATCTCAAAAGGATAGAGACACACGTCGTTGCTTTTCGTCGTTTCTCCCTACACTCCCACTTGACTGAAACCCAGTTGAACTGAAAAATGACTTTTACAGAAAGCTAAACATTCAGACATGGTACTCGTAGCTTAATTATTGACTTACGCCTGTTACTCCCAATGGAACATAGCCCGTCGACCAGCATTCTCCAACCCACTCTGTCCTCCGCCTTCTTTTCTAGTTCCATCCAATTCTTGTTCATTTTTCTCACGTCTATCTCCATTTCCCGGCGTAATGTGTTCTTTGGTATTCCTCTTCCCCTTTGGCCTTGAGGATTCCATGTGAGGGCTTGTCTTGTGAGGCAGTTCGGTGCTTTCCTCAATGTGTGTCCTATCCACTTCCAGCTCTTCTTCCAGATTTCTTCCCCCGCTGGAATCTGGTTTGTTCTCTCCCACAGTAGGTTGTTGCTGATAGTGTCTGGCCAACGGATCCGAAGTATTTTGCGTAGACAACTGTTAATAAACACTTGTATCTTCTGGACGATGGCTTTTGTAGTTCTCCAGGTTTCCGTCCCATAAAGTAGAACTGTCTTGATATTTGTATTGAAAATCCTGACCTTGGTGTTGGTTGGGAGTTGCTTTGAGTTCCAGATGTTCTTCAGTTGTAAATATACTGCTCTTGCTTTGCCGATCCGCGCCTTCACACTTGCATCAGATCCGCCGTGCTCATCAATGATGCTGCCCAGATATGTAAAGGTTTTTACACCTTCCAAAGCTTCTTCGTCAAATGTGGTTTGATTGGTACATGTTGTGTTTTATCGGAGAACCTTGCTTTTCCCTTCGTGTATGTTGAGACCTACTACTGCTACACTGGTCGTCTTCTCCCGCATTTATTGTTGCGTGTACGATAGAAGGGCCAGGTCATCTGTAATGTCTAGATCGTCCAGTTGCATCCTATCTGTCCACTGTATCCCATGCTTCCCCTCAGATGTTGACATCTTCATAATCCGATCGATCAACAGGAGAAAGAGAAAGTATGAGTGTAAGAAACCTTGCCTGACACCGGTCTTTACTTCGAACGAGTCTGTGAGCTGTCCTCCATGTATGATTTTGCAGTTTGACCCATCATAGGAATTCCGTATGATATTGACTATCTTCTCAGGCACGCCGTAGTGTAGAAGAAGCTTCCATAGTGTTGTCCTGTCCATGCTATCAAATGCTTTCTCGTAGACAATGAATTTGATGTATAGTGATGAGTTCCATCCAATTGATTGTTCCACAATGATCCGTAGTGTTACGATTTGGTCTGTACACGACCGATCTTTACGGAATCCAGCCTGTTGGTCTTGAAGTTGAGTATCTACGGAGTTATTCATCGTGTTTAACAACACCCTGTTGAAGACTTTTCCTGGTATTGCGAGAAGAGTG